CCTCCTTCTGTTATTAATGTATTTATAGAAGTGCTTTTTGTTATCCTTAACAGAAGTGGCCAATTTAACTTCAAATTGTGCTTTTGCATCCCTGATTTTCTGTCTGCATAATCTTGCTGTCTTCCTGAATTCTTCATAAGTAGTCAATCCTTTCTTCCATAGCTGGTAAACTCTCTTTTTATCCCTGATCTTGGATGTGTCTACAGCAGCTGAAACGCTGCAGCGAGCCATAACATGCTCCTTTGCCAAGAAAAGCTTGCAGGACAGGGTCTTGCTGAGTCAAAATTCCTCCAGCTGGAGCTCATGGCCACTTCAGAGCTTGGCACCGTGTGGGAGCTCATCACACAAGCAGGAGCTCCTGCCTGCAGCTGGACCCTGGCTCCCAGCCCCTGCCAGCTTCCCAAAAATCGAGTGAAGGGCTCTCCTCTGACACAGATGTCCCTGTAAAAAACTACAGGCCTTGAGCCAACAATCCAACCCCGCTGCAAGGAGCCACTCAGATGCCTCAGCCGCCTCCAGGGAAGCTGGATGTCCCTGTTTATCTGGAGGTCTTACCCAGACAAATAAAAATCCACTTAAAACAACAACCAGATGAACCCAATTTTATGAGCATTTTAAGCGGTTCACAGTGGTTCGTGAGTCCTGTAGTGATTTTCTTTTCCACACAATTTCTAATCGGTCCAACATATTTCAAATGCCCAGCGGGAGGGAGAAACGAAAGCAGGAACTTGTAGAGTTTAAAATATCTCCACAATTCAGCAATTATGATCAAAGTAAAAAGCAAGCAGTACATTTGCAGTGCTTACACATGACAACTTTTCCCAGTAAGCCTTTTCACTGCCATCTCCAGGTGATCTTAAAAGATGGTAAACAGATTATCGAGAACATCAAGACAAAATTCCTTCCATGACCCCGTGAGTTTTTTCTATTAAGTGAGGTTTCTCAAACACCTACTGTTTGTACTCAATTTAATTTTTATTTCTACACTTGCTTAGAACTTATCTGTACTTACTTTGTACACCCATCATTCTAACCTATATTCCCAAACAGTTAGCTGAAAGAAAAGGACAAGCAGGTAGGGGTTAAAAAGTATAGGAAGAAATAAATAAGCGGGAATAATTATGGGGAAAAAGTTTGTTTTCAAATCTTAGAGAAAAGCAGAGTGTAAAAGAAATAGGATATTCCTTATAATAGAAGACATAGACCTACCTTACAACAAAAACTATAGAAAAAAATGTCCTTACTGTAGGTTAGAAATGAGACAATGAAATGCAAAGAAAAGGCTCCAACAGAGATTGGGAGGTGCATTGAAAAAAAAACCTGCAGAGGTAAAACAGATGGGGACATATTTCTTTTCAGCTCATGCACTGAGTGCAGTCTGCTGCAGTCACCACAGAAACCCACCTGGAGACACAACTTCTGAGTTCATATTATTACACAGTACTTATATCTTATTAATATATTATATTAACAATATTATATAATTTATATTATTACACAGTACTTATATCATATTGATGCCTTCAGGCACATTCAGTGCTTTTGAAACACATCCACTCCTTTCCCAGCATGTCATTTGGCTTTTGGAAAACGTTCTTTTGTTGGTTTTTCGTTTTTTTAAATCCT